TGTTTTTCTCATATTGCACAACAGCACATACATTGCTTTGATCTCGAAGTAAGTATCGAAGTAAGTAACTAAAGTATGTGTGTTATGAAAATTGGAAACAACGACGGTACCACCTAAACCCGAGAGATAATACAAAAGTAATTGTTTTCTGCATTGACCCTGCTCCACTGACCTCAGAGATGGCGACTGCATGAAAACTTGTATGCAAGCCACTCGACCACGGAGGTCTTCAAAATGCATCTGATCGAACTCGCTAAACTCTTACCACTACTGGGTACCGATGTGGGTACGGATGTCTACTAATGAGACGGTTGAAGCCAACTTTTTCAGAGCTAAAAGTTTTTTATTTTATTTTACTGGCATTGCAATCCATGCTTGGTAAGCTGGTTAACCCCCCGCAAAAGGAGGGGAGTTATAACTCTGACCGCTTTGTTTGTGTAGGGAACTCAACCTTAAAACGAATATTTATTTTTCATGCCCGATTGACTTGAAATATGATATCTATGGAAATCCGATGACATTACATCTTAGAGGATGGAAAAAAAGAAAGGAATTGCCCTAACTACGAAATGAACGTGCAACAAAAATTTAACGAACAAATGGCGGATTTATTTAGTGTCGTATTATAATCTATATTCCTATATATCGATAGATTATATAAAATATATGTCTAAACTCGATAGATTATACGACGATAGATTGAAAATATATGTCTAAACTCCTGTTTAGACATATATTTACAAAGTTATCCCGCATTTTTAAAATCTTCCAATCTTAAGATAACGCAGTAGTGATTTTTAGATCTTTACTTTCGTTTGGTTAATTAGAATTGGTTACTTAAGTTATAATTTATTAATTGTAGGTATACCTCCAATCACAATGTATTGTATTTGTTAAACTATTATTGTTATTTAGCCGTGTTAAAAAAATGATAAAGCTGTGCGTAGCTGTTAGTGGAATGCAGATTTGTTTTATATTTAATTTAGCAATATTAATTAGTATTAGCAATATAAATTTGTATTCTGTGGCTGTGCCAATAAATAAGTCATTATCGACATGCAAACATTTAATTAAAGTAGATCAATATTCCATTTGGGAATATTTTCGGATATATGGGAATAACTGGGAATTTCGCATAAAATTTGAATTTATTGTTTTGCGTTTACAAATACTCAAATATTACGAATGGTGAATTTGCACAGAAAAAAATGTAATTTGAGAGTATATAAAAAAAGAGAAAACTTTAAAAATATAAATCTGGAGATCTCCTATACATTTCCAACCTCAAGATTCATATTTTCATAGATAAACTTTTAAACAGATTCCAAAAGGTAAGGCAAATAGGCTGTCTATACGTTGGTATTGGCTTGCGCCCGGCAACGTTGGACCAACATGGTTGTTGTATTGCTGGCTTTGTAAAATAAGAATTTTTAGTAGTCAGAGTTGTCAGTGGGAAAAAATCGGAAATGAGTGGATAATTTTATTTTCAGGAACTGAAAATGCCTAGTAAATGAGTCTTGTTTAATCTAAATATAAAATTATTTACCAATAAACCTGATGATGGTATTGCGTTATCATGTAATCTAGTTACATTCAAAGTTATGTAAAAATTTGACTCTTCAAAATGAAGCGAATAAATGAAGATGGTCTTTGATTCAATGTTTATATTCGGCACTCCTATGATTCTCAACCATTCTTTTTCTTTTTTGACTTATAGGTAAACTTAAAGTAGTAAAAATAATAAAAACCTCGTAGTGAATTATTTTAATAACAGAATATCGATAATATGTATGCTTCCAAAACACTATCTCAAAATAATCCTTAACAATAATCATCAAAATATAAAAACAAACAGGCAATCTGAAGAAACCAAAGCAAAATTTTTCAATATTTATGAATAAACTACTTAAATATGTCTAATTACATGAGATATTTGGGCTTTTGTGTGTTTTATAGACAGAAAAATAACAGGTACTGTACAATGTAATGTGATTTTCGCTTTTTCTAATACCACATGCCGTAATGCTGCAGCGACGAATTTTTATTAGTACTTAATTATTCTCAATTCAATATTTTTGTATATTTTATTACAATACATGCGAATAATTCAATAAAACACTTGGAAAAAAATTGTTTTGACATTTGTAGAACTTCCCTTTGACAACCGTATCATGTACCTCATGTACTGCGAAAAGGACACAGTTGGCATTTAAGATGACGTTACGTATTTTCAATGTAATGTCTATCTCTTTTGACTTAAGTCGGCACGCAATAGTTAAACAAAGACAATAACATGTTTATGTTTTCAACGTCGAAATGCATCATATACATATAACGTCTGATTTATATATGTCAACATAACATGTCCTTCAGTTTCCATAGTCTAAGCATTACATATAATAAACTAACTGTTCTTGACAGTTGTTCTTGATAAAAAACACCTGTTTTCACATGCACTGTGCTTCATTATAAAAAAAAAAAAAAATTTTTCACTTCAATCTAAGTTTTGTTATTTATACAATACACAATTACATGTTTTTATTTAATTTTCAAGATTAAATATACTGTTAATTTTTTTTAGTGTAAGACCTTTATTTTTGTCAAGCACGCATCTTTATTTTGTTATTAAATAAAATGACACGTAATATTGAAAATATGGATTATTCCAAGTTTCGTGTAAAAATATAGACTAAACCTGTAAATATGGAAAATAAAAGTAACTTTTTTTATTCTAAATATCATTATATGTAGAAAACAAATTAAAGAACGTCAATTATTTAAATCAAAAATATGTAATTACATATTAATCTTCTTACAAATTACTCTACTTATAACATTTAAATACTTGGTTATCGTGGTACGTGTTGCATGGTGTCAAGAAATGTCTATCCATCTTTGCAATTAACAGGAAGTGCCGTACAAGAACATGGAGACGCACGCTATCATGTGGGGTGTGGGAACAGACACCATTTCTCTGCCTGTGCCCTCCACCTGCCCCGAAAGCCTGCAACTGCTGCTCAACCAATGCTGGAACCGCGTGTCACGCAACAGGTCAGACTTCCGAAATTTTCTAATATTGCACCCCTCATGGAAGAATGGCATAAGTGGAGTTACGTCAAACATGTTTATTGCTCCATTAGTTACAGAAAAATATAACCAATATCCTCTCCAATTTTTGTAACTCTTTCTACAATATTAGTCGATAGTATTACAAGAATTGCATAGGATGTAGGTTATATTTTTCTTTCTATTTGTCTAATGGAGCAATGAATGTTTTTGACGTAACTTCACTTATGACATTCTTCTATGAGGGGTGTGAATGACAGGAGAATGTAATTTATGTTAAGAAGTATTGTAATTCTTTGACGAAAAGTATGCCTGTTCTCAACAGTCGTCGGCATAATGTCATAAATTCATTTAATTCACTAACAAGACTCCAGTCCATATTCAATATTTGCCATTTATAAGGTTAAAAATTATAGTGAAGCAAAAATTTTATAAAAAAAAATGTTATTATACAGCTAATATGCGTACTTGGATGACAAAATTTCCATGGTAGTAACCCATTTAGCTCTTTTAGATTGTCTCGATCTTGTGATATTTGAAAGTAAATGACAAAAATACGCAGTTGTGACCCGTTTCTACATTTTTCAGGCAGCTTCTATCTGTGGTATTGTAAAATAAATATTTTAAATGATAAATGTGAAGAAATGTATGACATTTCGTCTCTAGAAGGGGAATAGGTTCCCCTTCTAGGTTCTAGGTAGAGACGCTTACGAATGAGTAGAAGAGAAAGATGGAGTTTATGAACACCATTACGTGTAGGAATATTTTTTATGCTATCAAGTGACGGATGAACAAGTCGTGGGCTTGGCGGTTAGAGACACGCATGTACACGGCAGTTCATGAATCAATGGAAATAAATGCATCATCTAGGGCAAAATCGAAAGGAACCAAGAGTTGTGGCACTCCTGATTAAAGAATTTGATGGAGTAGTTCGGCTACATTGCCACTTCGCTCTTTAATGCTCGTGATGTTGTTCATTCTCCGATGGGAGAGGAACCTGAAGAAAACGTTTATCAATGTGACGATTTCAAGTTTCCATACATATTAAACAGCTTCCATACACAGTAAAAAAATAAATTTAAAAATATTAAAAGGTCATTATTTCACAAACTTGTGAAATATAACTGAATAGTCAGTGTGCATGACAGCACCATCCTTTTTGTAATATTTTTATTACATTCCCCGTGCTGTCGTTGATGGGAGACTCCCCGAGGGGAACATGGCCTCGGGGCGTTATAGCCGGCATGTTCCCTAACCGCGACGGTGTTGTGCGTGTTGTGGACGTTACAGATCGCTGAAGGGATTTTGCGTCGGCCCCTTCAAAGAAATTTTATTTTATAAAAAAAATTGGAGCACATCAACCTGTGTTTTTGTAATATTTTTGTTACTCTTTTTTTCTTTATTGTCTATTCAAAACCGTATTTTTTTCCGGAAGAAAATAATATACAGACCTTAAGAAAAGTTAGTAATTATTTTATTTAAGTATTTTCAACCACATTTTGTCAGTTTGAAACTTTTTGCTTATACGAGACTCGATCCGTCGATCCTGCAGTCAAACTGTATATATACAGTTTTGTTGGACTATGTTTAATTAAGAAAATTGTACACATTTTTAAATACTAAAATAAAATTACAAAAATTGTAATTTGCTTACTTCTGAAATATGTTTTAATTATTGTTTATTAGGCCCCCGTTCAAGATCATCGCTGCACATTTGGAAATCGCTGGCGAGGAGCTAAGCAACATCAAGGCGGACTGCTTCAATGTGACGCAGGCCACTTGGCGAAAAGAGGTGCAGGACGGCATGGAAAAATTCTATGCCAGGTAACAATATAATATACGTAGCATGTAATGTACTTGAAAGGTGGTAGCCCACTAAGAGAACGATTCTCATTATCATTTTTCAGCCATTACTGTCCTGCAAAGGGAAAAGGCTTCCCTTCCCTTTTTCCAGTCTTCGCGATGTATAGGCGTCCAATTCGTCACGCCATCTTGTTCTGGGTCTTCCGTGGCTTGTTTTTGGCTTGGTGTGATCCACTCCGTGGTAGTCTTTGCCCACAGCTCGTTTGACATGCGGCAGACGTGTCTGGCCCAGTTCCATTTTAAGTTTTCGGCTGTATTACCATCGTCACCGATTTATTTATTTAGAAAAACACAATGTAAACTTGCAGTAACAACAATTTGTGTTTTGGAGAGCAGTATGCTGTTTCCATCGAGTTTACAATGTGTTGATTTGCACTCGCGCCATAATTACAGAGGTCATTCTATATCCGAAACTGGACCCAAATCACTAAAAAAATAAATCTATAAAAATTCCTAAATTCTTATTTTTTATTTAATTGCGGTAACCATGCTTGATCCAAAGGTCATTGACTTGCACTACACGTGCCACAGGTACCGGCAACCATGGCTTATGCGCAGAAAATATGCATTTTAGATCTATTTGGTGGTAGGGTACCGCCGTAGGGTAGGGTAAGGTAGGGTATCGTATCGAGCCCGTGATTAATAGATCATCAGTCGACCTTGCGTATTGCGTTTACGTTCCGTTGACTAGTGTCTCACATTAACCTACTAATAAATGGACGTCGGGTTCGCGCTAAAAAGTGTCCGCACCTGTAGGGCGTTAAAATCGCACACAGAGCGTCAATTGCGCAACAGACTTCGTTTAATCAACTGACAGCGCGGTTGTCAATCATGCAGTACAATATAATAATAACTTGTAAAAATTAGTGCAGTAAAACAGGATTTTGTATCATATTTTCACTAAACGAATATGTTGTATTATCATGGTTATCATTTAAAAGTGTTATTTTGTACAGTTGTATAATATTTAATTTGTATATAAATGAATCGTAAATATAAATTACAAAGGCACACAAAATAATCAAATAGCTAACTGTCCTTTTTCTACACATTGCATGCGTAAAAGATGGAACGAGACCCATTACATCAATTTGAAGAAGCGTATATAAACTTCTTGGTCATTTTTAATTGTTCGAACCATAAGCGATTGAAATATTTAGAACAAGGAAACTATAGAGTCGCTTTGATTTTAATCTTATTTTTAAAATGATTTTATATTAAACGTTAGCAATAACCAACAAAATATTGTTGTATTAGTTTTACGGCTTGGGATTACCTATCAGAAGTCAGAAAATACATTTGCCCTAAATAATTTTAGCTCGAATTTCAATAACGTCAAATTTATTTTTTTAGAAAGATTATTAAAACAAAAGCTAATTTTGTCTATGTGAAAAGCATCGAAATTAGTCGAAAGCGTAAAGGCTTTATTATAAATCGGTTTTCGGAAATACGGATATTTCAGTTAACGTTTAATTGGAATATCGGTACATTTTTTATAGTACAGGCTTATTATCATAATTGTAGTAATATTTTTATGTATGTATCTCTTTAGTATTTCTTTAAGTGAATTTGTACAAAATTCGATATAATAATATATATAAAAATTAGTTAATATTTACGATAAAGGCTTTTTAGCCATTACTCTTATGTTCAAGTAATTTTCAGTCGAAGCTAAATATGGTGCATTTTGTTTAATTTTCAGTAGACGCTGAATATGGTGTTTTTGGGCCCTTAAATTGTTGCAAGCAAAATTAGGCAGTACTGCAATGACCTTACAATTTAAATTATTAATTAAAAAATATCCATTTATTGGTAGGTCAATGGTGTCTCACGAAATGCAACGTGGTTTAGTATGTAAACAAGAGTTAGTGCAAACCGCTACCATGTTCACCAGACCCTGCATTACCATCAAGTGCGTTTTTATGGCATGATGTGAAACGTATACTTTTACGGGTGTCGTCAGTTGTTTCACTTCAAATCGACCAGTCTAACTTAAGCTTTGCTATAATAGATGAAAATTGAAAAATTACATATTTAATTACCGATGAAATGTGATACCGTTTGTTTTGTAATTAGATGTTTTGCTGTTTTTCCCACACTACTGAATGGAACAGCCCCCATTGGTAGAGATATTATCTTTATTACAATAAATACAGAAATATTTTTGGAATATATGGAGACGTACATACAGGTCAGTTGTTGGCGCTGTACTATTTCAGCTTTCTAATTTGTGATTTCAGTGCAAACGAGAGTTGATATTTAACCGGGCGCCAATGACGTGAAAATAATTACGCCGACGGTGACGTTGGGTCATCGTGACCCGAATTTCATTGACAATTTTTTGTAAAATTAAAGTAGTTGTCTAAATTTTAACAAATACGTATTAAGTAAGGGTCGTCAAGACATATACTGAAATAAAAATAATAACAATAAATTGTATAAATAAATATTTAATTAGCGTTCTCAATAACACGTGCAAAATCAACATTGAAAACATAATTTGATATTTCTTTTATTTTTAGTAAAATATTCTGAATAATAATAGCAATTAATAGTCTTATATACTAAAAGAAAGGTCACTCAAACTTATTATTAGAAATTAGTCTTCTACGTCCTCAATCAGAGACGTGCAACTGCTGCAACTATTGCAGTACCTTCCCTTATGATCCGGGTATATAGGTAGTATATATAAATCTAGCATGCATTACATGTATGAGATGTTTTTTTATCCTGTTTGAACGGACATACTTGACATCTCTCGCGTGTGCCAGAGGTTGGTATGTATTGCGTAAATTTGCATCGTCCTTTGAATACCACCAACATTTCATCAATAGTGCAGTTTTCGCCCGCAGGATACATTTTTGGCATTGTTCAACAAATGCTTTGGAAAGTTCACGTATTGGTGCCAAATGATTAAATTGATGTCTGTCAGCACGCAACAAGCAGCAGGAATAAGATTAATTAATTATAAACAGTAAATAAACCAATAATGTCAGTCACAAAAATACCACGCCAGCGATGACGCTGGGTCATATTGACCCGTTTTGACTTAATGCACGTATTACTTGGCTGTGCAGATGGCTTCACATTTAGTACACCAGCGAGTCGGGTAGAGGAGGGTTGTATCTCCAGCTACTCAAACGTTGAAATCGTGCAATTGGCGTAAAACAAAAATATGCCCGTTGTAAATCGCCTCGGGTCAATATGACCCAACGTCATTGGCGCCGGGTTAAAAGTGATACATACCTATAAGGCCCGTTTACCCGATGAGTTGCCAGAGATGGATGGCCCTTATTTCGTGTCTATTTCTGGTTATATACTCGATAGCTGTTTCGCACGCGGTCTGACAGTTTTTCGGCTTCATGCCTCGCTGACACACCCCGAATGCACTATTGCCAATGACCTCTTCATTATAAAAAAAATGCCTTCGTATAATATTAAACTTGCGTGAGAGAGTTTCCTGCAGACCTCATTTTACAAAACTAAACCTCCTTACTCTACCGTCAATATACATCCTTGAAACTGCAATGTTTGTTAGAAAACACGTATCCATTTTTGAACCAGTTAAAAGTGTTTGCCCTAAACACAATTTATCACTCCTACACCCAATCTAGCGATGTATAAAAATAGGGCTATACTCATATATAATAAAATACCAGACATTGAAAATGCAGGACAAAGGTACACCTTTTAAAAACAAGTTAAGTTTGTTCCCCGTAACTAAAGGTTACTACTCAATAGAAGAGTTCTGAGAATTATGTATAAATGTTCTGTCTCTCACGAACCACATACTTCTATTATGCGTATGTTTTTAGTAATTTTCAAGTGATAATGCATATTTGAATTTTTATTAGAGTTAATAGAGTTTTTATTAATATTAAAGTATAAGATAGTTAATTCAGTATATATTTTTTATTTATTTATTTAATAATTAATTAATATATAAGTAATGCGAACTTCAGAAGTTTCGTCAAAGATCTAGTTTGAGCAGGTGCTCCCCGTCCTTCCTAGGTAGGAAGGACGGGGAACATACGCACGTCCATGAGCTTTCTTTTGAGGGATAGTGGTAATTTTAACAAAAGCTTCTCCAGGCATTTTCCGTGTGTCGGTAAATCTCTTTTACTTGTCTTGCCCGTTCGAGAGAGAATGATTACTTCGCAATTAAGATAACGGTTCAAATCTCTGGGGCGACACATTCCTGTGACTTAAATCTCCAAGTTACGTACTGTACTATCACCAAAATTAACGCCTTCTCACTTCCAAAATCGTTATGTTTGTATAGTTGGCGAAATATTGTTTGCTCCTATTCGCTTCATCTTTAGAGTACAATAGGACAAAAGAGTGAACCATCTCGGTAACGCACTTGCCATCTGTATAGTGCAAACAACTAGTTTAAATACAACTAATATAATATAAATAATAACTGCCTCCGTGGCCGAACGGTTACCATGCTGGGCTGCCACGCAAAGGTCCCACGTTCCATTCCCTGACCGGGAGAAATATAATATAATACATTAATTTCTCTCGTGAGTTTGGGTCTAATTTGTAGTTGTCTTATATGTATGTCCATGGCACCTGCGATACAGATATTCCCTAGTGCGGGGCTATGTTCAGTGAGTGCGTTTGCACTTAATTTTAAATTTGATAATATTTTTGCGTCAATAAGTTGTTGAATTAGTAAGAAAAGAGTCCGCAGTCGGTTTACGAAGTTTACTGTTAAAAAAATGACCTGTTAAGTAAATGAGCGTCTCGGGAGCACGGGCGAGACTGGCTCGTCTTTGGTCAACGCGGCTGCATATTCCGAGAAATTTAAATGTTGTTGCCTAATAAGTAGAATTCAGATTTGCCATTAATGTACGTGAAAGCGTGGTAACCGGGCGATGGTCGCGCAGCGTCTGCGCAAAAACTTTCGTGTCGTTTAACTGGGCGCTTCCTATTACGCGGAAACAACTAAAGCCATTTGTTGTTGTATAGATCCTTAAGGCATTGTTTTTTTTTTCGTGATCTAATTAGTCTATTTATGCTAAGTACATTTGTAAATATTGAATATCAATAAATCTCGCTAGCTTTGAAGGTTTAATCGGTATGTCAAAGAGCGTGTTCTACCGTCGGAAGAATGTGGGTGAAATCCATTGAGTATATAACCCCTGGCAACTCATCAGGTAAATGGGTCTTATATTACTTTTAAATATCAACCCTCGTTTGCGCTAAAATCACAAATGGGAAAACTGAAATAGTACAGCGTCAATAACTGTGTGTACGTCTCCGTATATTCCAAAAATATTATGTATTTATTGTAATAAAAATAATATTTCTAACAATAGGCGCTGTTCTATTCGGCGGTGTGTAAAAAACAGTAAAACATCTAATTACGAAACAAACGGAATCACTTTTCATCGGTTATTAAATATTAAATATGTAATTTTTCAAAATACGTCCATTATATCAAAGCTCAAGTTAAACTGGACATCCCGTCAATTGTTTCGGAGCGCAGTTGTGACAGTAATGATTTGGTATAATAGTTTTCAAACAAATTAAATGACATTTCGTCTCTATTTCTGGTTATGTACTCGATGGTCAAATTCAATCCGCGTGCTCAATAAGCGCGACGGGCTTATGGCCTAAACCCTCCCTTAGAGGAGATTCATGCCCAGGAGTGGGACTTAGGGGTTGATGATGACTGTTTAATTATGTAGTGGATATTGTTACAGGAGCGAACCTGTCGAGGAGAGTAACACTCATCGCCGTGAGGAGATGAAGCACGCACGCGATGTCCGCTTGGTGTATGAGCAACAACTAACTCGCGCCAACGAGCTGTATCTCGAGGTGTGCACCGTGCGGCTGCAGCTCGAGCAGAGGGAACGCGCCCTCGTTGAGTAAGTACCTCACTATCATCATCGCCAGGAGATAATAATAAAATTGTCTCCTCAATAATATCACACTATAAAAAAAATCGATACAATTTTTTTTATAACTTCAAGTGACGAGACAAACGAGTCGTGCGCCTGTTGTTAAGCTACACGCCTGTCCATAACAGTTACAGTGATACTAAGAGCTTTAAGTCGCAAAGATCTGAGAGGATCTAAGTTGACAAGTCCCATGTGTTTGTAATTTCACTAGCACCCTTGAAAACCGGAACACAGTAATGATGACATTACTGTTTGGCGGCAGAAACCGCTAGATGGCAGCACATTGATTGAAATTTCAATATAAAATCGATACGTCGTAATTTGCAATAATAGGTATTGATGATATTGAACTTTTAACGACTGCCTGCAGCGTAAATTTTAAATTATATTAACAGTCCAGAATTTATTTTGTTTTTCAATTTGAAACTACGACCAATTACCAAGATTGATAATGTGTTTCAAATTATGAGTATAGTTTTGGCGGTAGCGGTCCTCAGTAATCGAGGCTTAAGACACTTCCATTGTATTTTTCTTCCGTGCTCGTGATCAGCAGTCCTTAGCTGCAGGTCCCATGTTATATAACAAAAACCTCGCACAGGGCCTTATTAAGTTATTTTTACACGTACTTTTTTAGACGAGAGAAAGCCCTGAGGGCGTGCCGCTGCGGTGTTCGCAAAGCGCTGAGGCACTACCAGAGGCAGACATCCTCTTCCTCTGACGGAATGAAGAACTTGCCGCCTGCGATACACGAGAGGAAAGACCGTCGCAAGAAGAAGGAGCCCGCCCAGGTGCTGGTCAACTTCGTCGAGAACAAGCCCAACGACGGCCAGACAGTCACGGTGACAGTCACCGACGACATGTGCGAATGCAGCGACGACAGCATTCAGAACAACAACAAGACGCTGGAGACCGTCGTCGAACAAAATGGCAACGTTGATCTGAAAGTCCACAAGCTGGACAACTGCCTCCCAGATGTTGCTCAGGTGTAAGCTAGGTAGTCGTATTATTTTTAGTTCATCCTCCCAATTACAGGGATTATTGGCATAGGCAGTTTGTCTGCATTTTTATGTCTGTTTCTTGAACTGATAAGATACACGTTTGGATTCTAGATAATTTCTGGGGATGAGGGATAGGTTTTCATTGTATCATTAAAAGTTTACCAAAAAGTTTGTCATAATAGGGTCGAGGGAACGATAGGGAAGGATCAACGAATGCCGCAGTAACGATGTCGTCCTCAGAAATTTTAACATAACTAAATTTTGTCCATGCATTGTTCTCTCCCAGCGATCGTATTAAACTACGTAGTTTGTAACGTGAATCGATGTGTCCCCTTGTATATTCCCATAGAAATTATGAACCAACAACGGTTGTTAGCAAATCTTTGAGGACGGCATAACAGTGGGTAAATGGTCTAGGTAATTTCAGCACCGCCATCACATCGTGAAGTACCATTGATAATTGTAACGACTTTTTTTTTGAGAACGACGTAAGCTTGAAGGAATGAAACAGGATTCCAAGATATAGGGATGGCTTAAAAGCTGCTGTACTAATGCCAGTATAGCACCACGACTCATGATGTTGGTGTTTTGTAGAAAACCCGAAAGCGACATTTCGAAACATTTTTCTGAGAAGTTAATTTTCGTTCTCAAGTCTTTACACATTGTCGATGCAGCTTTCGGGGATAGTGGCGCTGCGGTAATGGCTTAAACGGTTTACTCATCTTTTATTATCTCATTATAACGCCTGACCAATAATTTTCAAGGAGCATTGTGACAACATTCCCAATAGACAATTATTTCTAAATATAAGTCGATGTGAAGTTATTTACAAAAACAAAAAAAAATAACAACATACAATACAAAAACACAAAAAAATTAATGTTGTACTTCAAACGGTCATAGTTGAATAGTTTCGTCAGAATGTATATGTTGGTAATAAGAAACAAGAAAAGGGATTTTCAGTTCATTGTTGGTGTATTTGTGGAGAATGTGGATATACTCATGATTTGTCTCGAGCGCATACGTCATACGGGAGAGGGGGTCGGTCTTTGCTGGACCTTCAGCCCGTGGTGCGTAGGCGAGCCAAGAGCCATTACGCTATTACTAGTAGGCGCGGAATGCTACGGTATTAACTTTCAAATTTGACCGTTTACACACATGTCCCGTAGTGAGAGCCTTTCCCTAGCGTAATGTTATGTATGTAGTGTAAATTATACAAAATACGAAAATCCCATTGTTGTTGACCCCGCCCTCTTGATACCAGTTGATATTAGAATACGATTTACATTCTTAGTATTGATAATTTCGGCTCCGAAGCAAATTATTGTAATAGTAATAATAAGTATTTACTCAGTCAAATACACATATTAAAGTTAAGAACTCTTGCATAGCCAAATAACATTGAGTCCACAAACATTGATTTGTCATTTAGCTATTCAGTTTTTGTTTATGTGTTCGAGACGTGTAAACTTTTCTGTTTTTTTTTTCCAAGACGGAGTAGTATGATTGTGCATAAGGGTTGCCAGCTTACAAGCAGCAAACAGATTTCAGTTGATAAATATTCTACAGATTATATTATTTTTAAAATTAATTGGACATAGTTAAGCAAAATGGAACCAATCTACAAAATTATCAATGAGTTATACGTACGAAACCGTTCCTAAAGTCTTACCTCAACAAAAAAAAAAATCCAACATTTATAAGTATCTCTGGAGTTACATGACATTATAAGTTTTGAAAATAAAACAAGAGGGAGAAACACTTTTAAACTTCAAACTGATATATCTCGAAAGTGAGTGGATGTGGATTGGATCCTTTTTGTTTAATTACGTCCAATTAAGATTCACTAAACATAAAAAGACTGTGTAATAAAAATGGACGGTATATTGGGGGAATAATATCGTGGCTCTGTATTTCACGAATTGATTTCGATACAAGCGGGCCAATTGTCACAATAAGAAGTGGCCTTAATGCTATGATTAATGAACGTCACAACATTAAATTCTTTACGCCTTCTTTGTAAATATTAACTCCTTTCACAGTCTATCGATATAACCATAGTATAATAAAGTATGATAACTCTATATTATATGCAGTGATCGGGATTAAGAGAGTTAATTTAGCTAAAGTAAAGAATAACTGAAATATTTTTTGAATATTCGTATATTTATTGAAATTTGAGTACATTGGTGACAAATTATTATTTCCTATTAAGTATTTGCTGCAAATTATTAACTCAATATAGAGTACTAAAAAAACCGAACTCAAAGTTTGTGGAATTACATCTATAACCTATATTTTGGAAAGTTTAGAAAATGAACACTAAAAAACGAAATTTTATACGTACTGATGACGAAATGGGTATGTATATATTAAGAAAATGTTCATACTTTAGCTAGATTAACTCAATATACTATGATATAACTGTCGACAACAGTTCCATGATTATTTAAAATATTACGAGAAGTGGCAACCCTGCAAACATTATTTTAATCCGTCTTGTAAGAAAATATAGTTCTAAATCCAGTTCCGAAACTGATGAAGTTCTCTAGCGCTAAATGCCGTAAATGATGTTGAAATCGAATACTATGATTATTAAGGCTATCAGCGCAAATGTTGTGTGGCCCAAATTTATTTTTTAGTATATGGTGGCTCTATTACGAGTACAAGATATCACAATTGTTAAATATGTACGGAATAGTTCCCGATGTGGTGGAAATAAGATACATAAAGCATTGTTGTATCTCGACCGTCTCTGTAGCATTCCTTTTTCTTGGAAGCTATGCCAAAGTGAAGTATTTTAGGGAAAATACATATATATATAATAATAATGCCAGACACTCGCACCAATTTTCTAGTCTCCAACTAAGGAATTTTCTGTACCTTGAATACCAGATAATAACTTTCATCTCAGATTTTCAAAGATTAGTTGGAAGGAATCCCTTTATGGGATAAGCTCGCCTTTGTACACAAATAATTTAAAAAGTTTCTTAAAATTTGTATTTTACTTTGTGGCACAATTAAGTGTTTAAATAAAATAAATAATAACCTGATTGCAATACCCGGAACAGAATCAATTCAAAAATGTTTTTTTCCTAAATTGCTACAAATCGGAAATCTGAAATGTCAATAGCAAACAATTTTGACAATTTCACACGTTACTTGATTCTATTCTATTTCCTTAATGGCGGCCACTAGGCTCGGGCCAGTGTCAGTTTCGACATTACTTGTTATCGAACGATATGATACTTGGGGCCGAATCTAGTTTGTCTATGAATTAAAAATAAAAACTACGGTTGTGTGACGTGCGTGAGAAAACTTTTTAATGGCCACCATTTCGCCAGCGTTGAGATGTGTTTGAGAATGAAAATAATTTTGGTAGTAGGTGCTTTCTTTTGCTACCGCACAGATTTATCATTATTTAGAGCGATCCATTTAAATACTTTTATATTTGTACGAAAGCAAATCTGATAAATTATTAAAAGTCTTGGACCAAAAGTTGTTGGTAATAATATAGCCCTGTGAGTTGGCTGGAAATAACAGGGTTATTTTATCATTTAAAGTGATATTGTTAAAAAAAATGTTGGTTATACAATTTTTGCGCTGGTAGCCTCAATTATTATAAGATTTTATTTTTTTAATGAATTCAAGGATCTGAATTGTGAGAATACGTCTTTTATATTCTAGCTAAGTTCCTTACACATTTTTGCGTGAGCTAATCAATCTCCATACTTAATGTTAATTTATAAGCTGTGTTTCGATCTGTGCCATGGTTTCAGTGAAATTCAGACTGTGAAGAGATCTGAAACAATGGTTAGAAAGAATTTATAGTAAAGTGTTTCTTTTTTGTCGAAACAAATTCAACTAACTACAGGCCTGTCGCTTAACTGAGTCCGTTCGTGAGGTACATTACAGTTATGTCGCGCTGCACACGGGATCATTTCAACAAGATTTTTCTAACAATATTCAATAACAAGTTAATTGAAAACAGTGCCAAATGGCTCGTTTATTAATTTCAATTATCGAATAGTTTTTATAAGAACAATTGACTAATTTAATAGGCACTTTTTTCAATGAATTGCTATTGAATATCGTCAGAAAAATCTTGTTGAAATTATCCCGTGTACAGCACGACATAACTGTTACGTACCCCAGGAATCGACTCAGTTAAGCGGCAGGCCTTGTAGCTATGTTTTGCTCTGGTTAAGTGCTAAACAACCGACCTAAAACATGCGGCGGTGTCGTGTACATTGGAATAATATTCAGTTTTTAAAGTGTTATCGTTTGGAAGAAATTACCAGAACAATTATTTTCCTACTTTAGTCTTTCAGTCTTTTGCAACACGCCTCGAGTCTCACTCGTAAACATTTTAACTCTAAACGTTCTTACAGTGTACACGTATCGTATAGTTTATAATAAGAATTTGCTACTATTGTTATTTTTATAAGATTATGTTTTAGCTGGCCTAAAACCGTTTATTTTTTATTCATATTTTACTTTGTTAGTTTTTTTTTTAATTTGGTACACGTATGATTATTTTTATTATTAGTATCGTGGCGTACAATTGGATTTATTACAGAGGAAATTTCTGATAACTTTTATATTTTATTAAGTGTAGAGTCTATTTGTCCAAATTTATATAATTTATTGTATCCACAGTACCATTGGTACGGTCCTGACTAATTTGTACAAATAGACTACAATTTGGTATTTTAGAAATACTGAGATCAATACGGTCTTGGATTTTTTGGCCATAGAACCGTATTTATTTATAAGTCTGTGACGAGTTTAATGATCTCCTAGGTTTTTGCTTCGCGCTAAGCTTTTATAACATTTGTAATACTAATAATAACGTCACGTATAGTGCGCCGGTTCTTTGCCCTGAGGCGCAGAACCCGGCCAACTGTGGCATTGTGGAATGCCGCTTTTCCCATTTGAAAATTTTGCTTTTAGATGCGATAATATAAAATAGATTAAAATAATAATAAAAACATTTACTTGTAAGCACATTTACGCAATGTCGAATAAAACAGAATCTAGTGCTTGTGGAAGTCTCCCGCTATACATGATGCTTTTCAAGCTCCGCCTTAATTCATAATCATTGACTTCCAATTATATGGACGTCGGGTCCGCGCTAAAAAGTGTCCGAACTTATAGGGCGTTAAAATCGTATACAGAGCGTCATTCACGCTTTAGTCTTCGTTTGTTCGACTGACAGCGAAGCAAGCAAAATTAGACGGTACTGCGATGACATTACAATTTAAATTCAACGTTTTAGCTTTTTCATATTCCTTTTCATGTCACTACGTTTAAATAGGTTGACTTACGACCTTTTTTCGTGGTTTTTGTATTAGACCGTCGTCCATTTATTTGTAAGTCAATGTTCATAATAGACATTCATAACAGTCTTAATATTTGATTATAGTTTAAAGGTTTAGTTAATTGGTTAAAAGTAAACAAACTTCAGCTGTTACTTGGTTAACCAGTCAAATACAAATTTTAGTATTGAGTGTCGTACGTCGTATTACTGCGGTACTCTTATGATTTGGTCGCATTTTATGAGCTGGCATCTTTTTAAAGGCTGGATTTCAAGTTATTTGTCGTAGGAAAGCTGTGATATGTGTTATTAAACATCTTTGTTTAAATTTTATATATATTTGGTACTATTTGAAATAGGTAGTTCGAAATGTTGTCTATTAGGCTCATTTTATACCTATTGCGGCGGAACTATTTGGAAGCG